GCCATAGCACACTGGAGGCGGCTATAGCACACTGGAGTCGGCAGGAGCTGTAAGGCTAGCACTAGCTCTGTCTATCCCCTGTCCTTCTCTACTTAGCTCAGAATGGAGTTCGAAGCTCCAGATTTCCGTTTGGTGGGGCTGATGGAGGCATGTTATGGGTGGAGGTCTGGGGAGCACTAAAAGGCATAGCTCAGGGGCCAGAACTTTAGGAGTTGCTCATGGACATTTTTCTCTTGTTTCCAGGGAGACACGAGATTTTGAGTGCTTTGGATCAGCCACATGGAAGGAGCAGGGTGAGCAGTGTGGGGGTAAAAAGGGTTTACGGGGTGGGGGGGGGCATTGGATAAAGCACATAGGGGTGGTGAGTAGATATGACAGGGCAATGCTGCCATGACAAGGGGTGGGGGAACCAAAAAGGCCAAAGAGACTGACTCCTAAGTTCCCACTGAGACAGACCCCGGTTCAAATGTCTGCGCTAGCCCTCAGCATAGTGTGTGTGTGACTCACACTGGGAGTGGTTAGTAAGAACTTGCTGGATGAAGGAAGGGGACTGTGGCTAAGTCGCTTCCTCTCTGAGCCTTAGTTTCTTCATCTAGAAGAGACATAGTAGCCATTATTCTTAGGATTTCACCTGCGCCTCCTCTCCCCACACTCACACCAGTCTGTTGCTCCCTCCCCAGCCTGCCCTGTAGAGGCTGCTGGACTGTCAGCTCTCTTCAGCAAGGCCTGGAAAGGGCTGGTGTACCCAGGCCTTGTTCTTCCTTCTTGTACGTTCCTCCTCTCCCGCTTCTTCCTCCTTTTCTCTTGATTCCACTCATTGTTTTCTGTATCCCAGGACAAGTTCTGGGAACCCTAAGCATGTGTCGAAACCTCCCGTTTCAATTCCACCACATACAAGTGCACAGTGCACCCTCCCCTCTTTGCAGAGGGTTGAATCTGCCTGAAACATGAAGCTCAGAGCCCCAGGTGGCCCCTACTTGCTTCAAATGCCATTGGTACTACAGAGCAGCCAGCCTCCTACCTCTACCCCATTTCCCCATGCAGAGCTAGCTGGGCCCCTCTGGGAATTGATCACATCAGCACTGTTCCAACTCTGGAAGGTTCACTATGAGCTAATTCCTCTGGAGTATGTTAACCAGAGGAAAGGCAAACAACGCCAAGCATGTGGAGATGGGGCAAGGACGATTTCACACTAGTAGTCATGAACTGTGTTCAGTCATGCACTCTCTAACGTGGACTTTCTTGGGAGCAATGAAATGTACCTTTAGGATAGATCACTGGCACAAGAAGGACAAGAAAACAGACCTTTTCTGTGTCTAAAGTGAGCAGCTTAAGTTGACGTTCTCTGTTATTATTTTTGTCTTTTTTTTTTTCTTTCATTAAAACTGATGGGCAGAAAAGATGAGTTAGGTGCAGTTTACATTCGCCTCTGCCTTTAGTCCTCCTGTGGCATGTGGAATGCATGCAACTCTGTAAGAGGAATCTTTTGGGGTTTGATTTCTAATAGGCTAAAATCGCATTATTTATGTTTCTAAGGGATGTAGTGAGAAAACAGAAAAACCCAAAACAAAACAAAAAACCCAAGGCTGGACAAATCAACTAGATAGACATGCTGGGGATAAACTCCCTTGCAAAGGGGCTGAATCCATCTACCCCCTTCATGCCCTCTCACCTTCCTAAACAACCTGTGACCTGCACCCTGCTCTGGTTTTTAATGGGATGGGGGAGGCACAGTGAGGATCAGCCAGCGTCACTAAGGTTTTTTTTTTTTTTTTTTTTTTTATATGCAAGAACAAATGACAGTCTTGAAGACAGGTTAAGGAAATCTTTCAGAATACAGAAAACTCAAAAGCCTTTGCACACTGACCATTGCCATGGCAACACACTATCTGATGGCAGCCTGCGTCACGAGGCTGAGGGGCACAGTATCAGTATAGCAGGTTAGCTTGGCCATTTTGAGCAGCATTTGGATTTCTTTCTAGCCTCAATTCTTCTAGGTTGAGCTGAGTTTTTTTCAGTTCTGGACTCATGTGCTTTGTTAATTTGCATGGCTAGGGACACAAAGACTGTATAAAAGGGACAGTGAATGGAAAATCTTAACAGTTCTTGTATTGTATATTCACTGTCCTTGCCGCCCACTCTCCTGGCTCCTCATCACCCGTTCTGATTGACTTCGCTTCTCTTTTTCTCCATGTCAGTTCTTTCCTACATTCAGCATTCCCTCCCAACCCAACACGGTGACTCATCAGCCAACCTAAGCTCCCACCAGATCCTTTTCATCTCTCTATGCTCACTGTAATGTGGAGTGTCCTGGATCTTAGCATTGGAAGGAACCCTCTCCCAAGGCAGGAGCCCTTCTAGCCAAATGATCCTCTGCTCTCCTCACTCCATCTTTAATGACAGTTCTCATTCTCTTCTGGACACCCTGTTCCACTTTGGACAGCTCTAATTGTTATAAACTCCTCCTCCTGAATGAAAATCAGTCCTTTTATGACACCCATCCATGAGTTCACCCCTGTGCCCCACAGCCAGATATATATACCCTGTCCTGTTCTGTGACAGCCTTACAGAGAAATGAGGCAGGGCTCATGTCTCTCCGAGTTTTCGTTTCTCCAGAAAGCCCTAGCTCCTCTAAGCAGACCTCTTGGAGCTTGGACTCCAGTGCTTTCCCCAGACTGGCTGACCTCCTGCAACATGTTCCTATTTGTCTAGAGCCTTTTTAAAGTGAGGTCGATACTGCATTAGCATCTCTGGAGGCCACCTTGACCCGGTGACTCATACTGAACTCTGTGTCAACTACTGTCTCTAATTCTCTTTTAGACAAAATGCTCTTAAGCCACATCTCATTTTGCTTGTATGCAGTCCCTTCTGAGAACCCAGTTCCTAGAGCAGATGTTTGCTCCCTGCTCAAGTTCATTGTGTTACTATCCCAATATTGCCTTCATCTGCTAATACACTTCAAAAACGTGACTTCCATGTCCTCTGGGGTGAACTAGTTTTGTTTTAACTAACCCTCAGCATTACTTTTCATCTTGAGCCACCCTCACCCACTCACTCCTCACTCAAGTCTCTTTTCTAGCTTATTTCCCTCTGCATTACCTTCCTCAGATCTCTTGTTTGCCATTTCATTCCCCCAACAGCAAATGGCGCCTCTGTCTGGAGTGAGGTGCCTGGGAATGTGTGCAGGGAGGCAAGGGCGTGCGCGCACGCACGCACGCACGCACGCACGCACGCACGCACGCACACACACACAACGAGCTAGGAGCAGGGTACTGTAGAGGGGTGTGTGTGTGTGTGTGTGTGTGTGTGTGTGTGTGTGTGTGTGTGTGTGCTTTGTCTGGGTGTTCCCAGAATTTGGAGCCTGGATGGGAAAATGGGAAAGAGTGACAAGAGAAACTGGTCCAGCTTCAATCTCAAGGGAAATGGGACTGTTTTCTGGATCAGAGAGGAGCAGAGGGAAGCCAGGGTGAAGGGTGCAGATCTCCAGTCTCCATCCAGACTGGAGCACAGTGAGAAAAACCAGCAAGAGAAGGAATTTAGAGGATCAGAGGGGAACAGAGGGAAGCAAGGGTGCAGATCTTCAGTCTCCATCCAGACTGGAGCACAGTGAGAAGAAGCAGCAAGAGAAGGAATTTAGAGGTCTTAAAGACTAGAGAAGGGAGGAGGATTTGAAAGACAGTGAGGACTTGTAGAGTTGGTAGCCATTGGGAGATCAGAGGAAGGTGATTTGAAACATTAGAGGCAGAAGAAGGTTGGGTTACAGGACTTTACAAGGGGCAATGAGCTGTGAGTGTAAGTGTGAGAGTCTAAAGTTTATTAGCATAAGAACATTTTCTCAGGTCAAAGGAGCCTAGGAAATCTAGTCCTTACCACAGGCTTTGCTGTTGTCATCAAGTGCATCTGCTAGTGAACCTAGCCTGCAGCAGAGACCCTCATAATACTGCGCATTCCCTCAGACGAACCCTAGCTTTGAGCAGGCCTCTTTTCAGACAGGATTACACCCCAAGGAGGAGCCAAAAGTGGGAGATCTGGCACCATCTTTGTCATTTTATGAATAAACAAGAGAATTTCACTCTTTGGGATAGGCAATATGATATCTTTGGCTTCTTAACTCTGCAAATAGGATCCAAACACATACTCGCTCTCTCTGTCTCTCTGTCTCTGTCTCTGTCTTTCTCTCTCTCTCTCTCTCTCTCTCTCTCTCTCTCTCTCTCTCTCTCTCTCTCTCAGCTAACAGGAAAATGATTGCTCTAAATACTTAAAACAAACGATAGATGAGAAGCAAGTCTCCCCTCTAATGGAAAGCTTGAGGGAAGGACCCCCAAAGAGCTAGTAGTCTGTAGAGTCATGACTACCATTCCTCTCTGTCCTGGGGACAGAATAACTTGGGGGTGGGGGAGAGGGCAGTAGCTCTCCTCCTGGGTTCGAATAGGAATGCTGGAGCCCCCTTCAAGAACATCAGAATCTCTGATTAACCCCTGGACTTCCATAGACATGCAGTGCTCTTAGACCATGCAGCAAGAGAATGTCTAGGGAAGAAATTCCTTCCCTATCCCAACCCCTCAAGTCTAAACTCATTTGAACTTCCCCAAACTTAGTTTTTCTGTTTTGCTTTGCTTTTTCAGTGTTGGAGATGGAGTGGTAGGCAAATGCTCTACCACTGAGCCACATAACCCTAGCCCTTAAAGATGGTTTTACTGTTGGCCTTTTCAAAGAAAAAGGCTCTCAGAATATTTTAGAACTGATTTCCCCTTGGAAGTGCCTTAAAGCTGAACCTTTTGTTCTTCTGAAGGTGACATTAGCCAGCCAAGTGACAATCTCAACCAGAGTGGCTTGTGTAGCATTCCGGCTACAAGATGTCAGGCCAAAAAGAGGTTTCCTTTCCAAGTCAGTGGAATGATTAGCTGCCAGAAGACAAATGGGATTTGAGGAAGCCCCCAGCAGCAGGCCAGCACACACGGGGTGGAATCAGGAGGGCAGGACTGGAGGGTGGCGCTCACCTTTGATGTAGTTGAGGATTTGCTGGATTCGCTGGGGCTCATTGCGGTCTGGCCGGCAGCTTGGCGTGATTTCCAGCACATAATCAGGACCATATGCTGTGAAAAACTGTAAGGAAAAGAGAAAGGCCAAAAAACAAACAAAACCACATAAAACTTCCAAACCAAACCACATACAAACAGGACAGTCGAAAGAAACTCACCATTCCTGACAAGGCCAGGGCAGCCTTCAAGGGCAGAGTGGCATGATGTGGCAGGAAGCTCTGCCCTGGTGGCATCACTGTGCTCACTCATTCAGACCTTCAATGACAGCCACTGTGAAATTTGGGAGCTTGATGTCAAGGGTCCCTCTGCTTGGCCTTCAGCTTTTTTGCTCCGACCACAGCTCTTCATGCTCCCTGTACTCTAGCGTGCTAACCCACTGAGCTCTCTCCAGGCTTTGTTCTTACTTAGAACTTAGTGCTTTCCTGCACTCCCTATTCATGCTGCCTGTGGAAAAACCTCCCCATCTTCCAGGCACAGCTCAAATGTCACCTCCTTCACAAAGCTGTCCTTCGTTCTCTGCCAAACTCGACAGCATTCTGCTGGTGCCTCTCTTACGGCCCCCATTCAGAAAGACAGTGCCTGCTTGCATGTCATATGCAGGCCATAGTGGCAGCTGCATGGAGGGTCCTCTAGGTATTCAGAGGCACTGGACAGATACTTGTCAGCAGTGACTACCCTCTCTTCTCTCCACTGGACAGGGGCTCTCTGAAGGCAGGCAGTCCCTGGGTTTTTAGTAATCTCTTGGCCTCACAGCCCATTAGCTTTTGCTGCCTTGGAGTCCCTGCTCCAGGAATGGCAAATGAGTCTACTAAGACAACTAAGTTTTTCTTTCTCTATAGTGAAATTTACGTTTTTAAATTCAAGGAATCAAAATAAAGACTTGTGGAGTCTATTTCTAGCCCACTAGATGACTCCTTGTGACCTTTGGTAAGTCACAATATCTGATTTAGCTTCTGTTAGGGCCCACTTGGGGAAAAACACTCTGTGACAAAGGGAATCATTCAAATGGGATCAGTCTTTGAATGGGAAATATGCAAAGCTACGACTTCTGGTTTTTGGTTTTTTTTTTTTTTAAACAGAAATAGTATTTGTGTGCACTCTCTGGAGAGAGAGCATATGGTCCTTAACACAATGTGTTTCAATAGTGACATTGTTAGGTTGTAAGTAAACCAGTGAATCCAAATTCCCTGAAAACAAAATAAAACAAAACCTCAAACAGTATAGCAGGCATGGAAACAGGGATCTTGCTATGCCCTGACTTTGATGCCACTCAAAGAACCCAAAGTTATTGCTACTGTCCTTTACATTATCCTTGTTAGGAGTCTGGCTGTACATCTGGCACCGTGGGAGATGTTGTGGAACAATCTCGAGATTCTAACAGTGTCTTTGTGGAATCCATGAGATTAATTTCATGGCGAGATAGCTTTTGCATACCATGAAAGAATATCCTACACGTTTAATTGAAAGGAAAATTCCCAAGATTGTGCCAATGCTTCCCATGCCATGTATGTGAATTGACCCAGAAAGGGACAGACACTCAGTCCTCACCACAGATATTACTCTGTGATTCCCTGTGATTCCCAACACCCCAAATTATGGAGACGGAAGCTGCCTTGAGTAGAGATTGTCTTTATCAAATCCCTATATGAAACAGGAAAACAGGGTTACCCGGGGTGGGGTGGGGGAACACATCCAGAAACTGCCCCTCCCATCATGGCTGAAGAAACTTGAGAAGCATTTATTTTTAGCCAAGGAGGGCCCCTCAGTTCAAGTTGTAGAGGAGAAGGCTTCAAACAGGTGTAGTGGCCTCTTCTCCTGAGAAGTGTCAAGTGATGTGCTCATCTCATGGGAATGGAAAGGCAGGCTTAGAGCCACAGAGTACAGGCAGCCGCATCAAAGCAGCTCTTGGGGAGACTTGGCATCACAGTACTATAAAAATAGGAGGCGGGGTGTCTAGCCGAGATAGAAAAGGAGTTACTGCTGTCCCCGTGTACAAAGCTGGCACTGTGGATCCTTGGTCAGCAAGGCATGCTGGAAACGGTCTGGGGCCAAGGGTTTCGAACAGCATATTCTCACTTGAACACCTACTAGGCGACTGTCCACACTTTCCTACTTTAGTCCCCTTTGGCAAAGAGCACAAGGCTGCTAAGCACTTGGTCAGCGGGGGCCAGAACTGCCTGCCGTGTGACAAAACAGCTCTACTAGGGATTAAACCTCTTACCCTGGCTTCATTTGCACCTGGCTTTAACTGATTGAGCCGCACATTGGTCAGAGTCATCAAAAGACCTTCCTTGCTGAAGCAGACTGACTGCAGGAGACAGCCAAGACCGGGTCCCCAAACTTCCTTCTACCTTTGTCAATCAAATACTCTTTTGCTTGGGTCCTGCTAAGTTGCACTGTTCTTGGCCTGGGGGGGACTCAAATGGTTTAAGAAAGTCCCTGTGTTGGAAGCCAGTTATGCATGGCAGCTGGGTGCTTCCAGTCTTGGAGGATTTGCTTGGGTGAGGCCAAGTGAAACAGTAGGCTGTAGTTAAAGTCCCTGTTCCTGTGCTCTAAGTTTGCACTTGTTGTATCCTCTCTGCTAAACTACGAACTCGGTCATGTTCTCGTTGCATAGCCCATAAAGTCAAACTCGTCACAGTTTTCCCTTAAATGTATGTTGAATTAAGATAATTTGCCAATGGTTTAGCTAGGTGTCTGGTTAATTGTGTGGAATAATTCAGAGTCACCTCAGCACAAACAGCTTTCCTGGGCTGTGGAGGCAACGTGACAAGGTGGAAAGAGCACTGGTGTTGGGGTCAGGGACAGCTGGAATTTGGCACCTGGATTTAGCTGTGTGCCTGAGGTAAGCTTGTTAATCTCTGTTTCGTCATTTGCACCCTAGGGATGATAAATGCTGACCTGTTTGGGCTGTTAGGAGATAGTATCTATCAAAGGACCCAACCTGGAGCCTGGGATATGGAAGGACGCTGATAAATGCGAATTCTTCTCTCCTGGGGGCAAAAGGCTCTTGCTTAACCCTGTCCCCTCTATACTCTGAGGAATGCAGGGCGAAGTGCTCAGGGCTGAAATGTAGAAAGAAGAGCCTGTTCCTTTGTCCAGACCGAGCCTTCTGGAAAGATCGAAGCCTTCTGGCTTCGCCACTTGCTTCAGCCATTGGGTTAGCCCGGGACCAGCTGAGAAACTGACTTCTCTCATAGTTTCTTGTGACTTGTTACTACTGATTGTTGAGGTGGAGAGGAAACATGATCATGGTACGCAGAAAAGATGTTGAGGTGGAGGGATTTGGCTAGCACTAGAAATAACTCATGGCCCCACCCTGGAACTGCCCTCCAGCTCCAGGAGAAAAGGAAATGGGCACACTGCAGTCCCATCCAGGCAGGTGGGGCAGGAGATGAAAGGGGCAAGCCGACCTTCAAGGGAACATACTGGCTTTGATCTCAGCAAAGGAAGAAGAGAGGTGCTAACCCCTCTCCACCCCTTCCCCTTTTCCTACAGCACTCCTTTTGCTTCCTGGGCTTGAGTTGAAATAGTTTCGAGGGGAACAAGGTAGTGTGGAGCCAGGGCAAACGGAAGGTATGCAGTGGGGCAAAGGGCTGGGGGGTTGAAGGTAATGGCTGCTTTAGGGTAGTCATTGCAGGGTCTGAGTCTTGACCCCACGAGTCAATGAATAAAGGAATGTAAATAGTTTGTCTCCAGTTCAGTTCAACCAACTTAATTCTCCATTCTTGCTCAATCCTTTGCAGCTCTTGTGCACACAATGAAAACAGCACACAATTAGATACTTGGTTAAAAAGAGCAGTGGGAGCCTTTGAGGTTGTTCTTCCTCCAGGAAACCCAAACCACAGACCCAAATCAGCTGATCTTTCTGTCTTTCCTCAGCACTTCGGAACTCCCTACTATGTGCTGGACTCGGTTAGTCACTAGGGTACAAAGACAATAAGGTTTGCTTAATAGGGGAGATAATTGCAGAACAGTGAGATGAGTGGTACAATAATAATATAACAATAACAATGCTAAAATAAAAGTAATGACAGTTAATGTTTATTAGAGGCTTACTATTTGTCATGCACCTAAAGTATCTAAGCATTTTTTATGGACTGAACTTAATTTTCACACCCAACCTAAATGTTATGTATCATTGTTTCCATTTTAAAATGAGATCTGAAGCACAGATATTATGCACAAAGCTAAGAGTTGGGACTAGATTAGCCTGGAGATCACTTCTGTAAAGTATACCAGAGGAACTGAATGTAGGGGGTCTGGCCAAGCAGGACAGAGGTGGGGAGGAGGTGGTCCCAGAGCCCAGGCAAAGACAGGGAGCCTGAAGCGTAAGAGCACCAAATTAGGTATAATTATCTGTGTGGCCAGCAGACCAGGAGGCAAGCAAGAACTTCGTGGTAGGCCCTGCCAAGCCATGCCTTTACCTCAGACTAGTGGCTCCATGAAGGCAGAGCATTGTTTTATCCTCTGCCATATTGCCAGTTCTCAAAACAATACTTGCACTTCATAGGTGGTAAATAAATACTTGCAGGATAATGGATAGAAGCTTGGAGGAGATGCAGGAAGTGAATGGGATATCTGTGTATACGAAGGGCTCACTGGCTCCCATGTGGAGACTGTTGGAATTTGAGGAATGAGTGTGAGTAGGGTCACCAGTTAGGAAGCTGGTGCTACAGCCCTGGGGGTTGCTCATAGAATTGGGACAGGGACACTTCTGGGAGGAATGGAAAAGGAAAAACTTCAAAGATAGCATCAACAGGATAAAACAGTAACTTGGATGTGGGGAATAAGGAAAAGAGGGGAGTAAAAGACTTCTGGCTCGAGGGATGAACAGTAAGAGGATCCAGTCTGTGGACCCAGAAGAAGGTTTGTGGGGTGTGAGGGGTGATTCTAGTGGGGAGCACATGCAGGGTCAGGATCCCAGTGACAGTGGTCTGTGTGAGAGAGTAGGCCCAGTGTAAGGGGGGGCTAGACCTCTGACACCACATGTGTTATAGATTTGGGAATTAACAGTGACAACAAAGCCGAGGAAGCAGATAAGATTGCCTTGGCCAGCAGGGT